CACATGAGCAAGGGGATTTTACGCTAAAGTGGTGTTGTGGGATGAAGTTATAATTTCACAGAAGGTAAAGACCATAAGGGAGGATGTGGATGTGGATGAAGATGAGATGGAGGGTGCCGCCTCACTTTCGGTGTTGGGTTGTTGCTAGTCGCGAGTGGCGTTGGGAACTGTGGGAGATAAGAGTTCAGAAATCGCACCTTGCCCCGTCCACATAACATTTTACGATGGGGGTTTCCGGCGAATGTAACCCGAGGGGGACGGCTTTCAATTTCCACTACTCCCATTTCCCCCCTTTATTCTATTCCTTTATCCTATAGCTTTTGCCCCCCGCCGAAATTCCCATGCCCTATCTACTTCTCTTTCTCCCCCCCCCCCCCGGCCTTTAATTTTTGGTTCAATTTTTATTGCTCCTTCAAATTAATTTCATTCCTTTCAAAACAATCATCACACCATCTCTTGTATTACTACTAAATACGCGTTGATGAATGGCCCCTGATTTACGTGCTTCACTGTTGTGCTTGTGAAGGGCAGCCGTTTTATATATGTTCATATAAAGTTCATACCGGGAAAGAAAATGCGTAGCCGTTTTAATTGCGCCCCCACAAGCCGTTTTATCCGCGGCCCCTACACCCGCATGTATCAACTGATTGACATCGACAATAGGAGGCGTGAGTGAAATTAGGTGGTGAAAGGAAATGTGATGGTCGTAATCAGAATAGAGTAGTCGGAACTACTATTTTCGAACCTAAATATAAAAACTAGTTCATTAATTTGAAAACATTAAGAAAATAAATTAACTTAGTTATTTGTAATAAATAGGTATTGTCTTTCTTAAAATATCTTTACTAATCAATTAATATTAGTTAGAACTACTATCATTAAAAGGACTACTTTAGAAAAAAATATACAAATGTGAGACAGAACGAATTGAAATTTTATATTTAAAACTAAAATAAAAATTAAGTACCGGAGGTAGTTGTTGCCCTGCAACAATTCAACGCACATGCACTTCAACTCATCCAGCCATCGCCATCCCGTGTCTGCAAGGAATGCTTTCACCCTCGCAATCATATGTCGGTAGAAAAAGACGACGCCAAACTTACCAATGTCATTAGCCCGGTCGATGCGTTTTACTACTATTATTATACCATCAGTGAACAACATAACTTTAGAGTTAGTGGGGAACATCTTTTACCCGTATTAAAAAGAAGTATAATAATTAAAGAGCTTTGCTGTGTCATTCATGATTAAACCAGAACTGGCACGGTTCATGGTAAAGAAGATGATTTTGGGGCGTAATCAATCACGCGAACACTAATAAACCCACTAAACTTGGACCTAATAAAAAAGGAGGCAGGCTAATGGGTTGGCTTGACCTTTGGTTTCAATTGCTGAAGATTCTTTCGTTCATTCCCAATGATAATGTTCATCTGAGAGATGCCGATGCGTTTGGCATCATGTCTAAATGAATTGAACACGTTGGTGTTTCCGGCTGGTGCTTTTGTTTTTACCCAAACACAACTTTGGTGAAAGCGCCACTATATCTAGAAAGAGAACTTTAAAGGTAAGGTAAAAGAGAAGAGGCGCCAACATCCATGGTAGTGTGCCGTCAATTTTTTCTGAGCTACAAAACTCTAATTCTGGAAGGATTATAATTTATAAAGGGTGTACTGTATATAGCCGCCATAAGAGCCTCAAATTACCACTTGCTTTCACATTGTTCCTTTTTTATTCGCTTTTTAGCAACTTCAATAGTAAAAGCAAACATGGCGTTGTGTTGTTCATCAAAGCTTAAAAGCTCTCTTATTACTTGTTCTATATATTCTCCTATCAGTTATTTTGTCATCAACTATAATGAACATGGCTTCTTGACTTCTGGATTTTAATTGGTCTTAGCCTGAATGTGATTGATTATAACTCGACCGACATAGCGGTAATGAGTGCCACCAAAAATGTTTATAAAATTGCTTCAATTCATTCCGCTTTTCATTAATTAGTTAGTTAGTTAGTTAATTTTGTGGTAAATATGATTTTTTATTTAAACTAAAAGTGACTTCGGACTATAGGAAGTCGACGTTGTTAACAAATTTCCGCTACATAAGATACTGCGCAAAGCAGGAGACCAGAAGACTTGCAGCAACTTGTGTGCTGCTGCACGCGTATTTTGAGATACGAAAATATCTTCTTTCTTAATGATCACGCCAAATATTAGAAAAATATACTCCTCTGGTCCTTAATATAGGAGCTAATTGTTGAGTTAGTTTTGGTCCTAAATATAAGACTTATTTCTCATATTTATCAGTTTTCTCTAAATTACCCCTATAGATACTCCCTCAACCATAATCAAGTGGAAGAGATACATGGGGTATTAAAAAAGATAATTATGGTATTTTAGAAAAAATATGTCATTTTTTTTAATAATTAACTAACTTACATAACTTTCTTAATTTAATCAAATTAGTTAAATGAGTCTTATATTAAGGACCGGATAAGTAATATATTATTCTTTCTCTGGAAGTTGGAGTTTTATTATTGAACTTAAGCCCTTTTCGCAAGTTGCAGCCTGACAGCCTCCATAGATACAGGAAGCACAACACATTTTCATGTGTGCTCTTCAAACAGATACTAATGAGCAAAACCAACATGTGCAGCTTATTATCTTAGGTGATATGTATTTAGATAACCATTGAGACATAATCTCTGAATAGCAAATGGGAAACCCTTCATGCGAATATAGATATAGTATTAAATTAAAATGGTGAAATAATGTTATACAAATACATTTCAGTGAGGATGGAGTACGTTCAGCCGCACAATAAACACTCTCTCAACAGTTTAATTAATGAGAACAGAACATGAATATTATGTAAATACTCTTACTAACACCAACTGTAAAAACCACTTTAAAGCTCCTGTTGAAGGGTTTTTCCATATAAACTTTCCAAACGTGCGCTTAATACGAGTGATATGCATACACGCGTGCGCGTCTTTTTCACGTATGTAAATAATGAGTTTCATCCTCGACGATGCTGGAACCTAGCCATGTAGTAAAATTCTTTCTTATAACAGCTTAATAAGAACACATTGATTTCTCCGCAAATTTATTTCATATCTTAATTCTGAAATGAAGCAAGTGTTCCGGAAAAAGGGAAACTTAAACAGAAGGAAAAAAACCGAAAAAAACAAAGGGAAAATGTACCGGGTGCAATTAATTGATGAATATTTTAATATTAGACAATAATCTGACAATTATGGGGTAGACATCGAGTGTAGACAAACACAGAAATAAGTAACACATAAAGAATATTAAATTGTGTTTTTAACATTAAATTTCTGTGACTACCCATTTTCCATGTAATGTTCTGATAGCTTTGCTGCTTCTTGTAGTTATTTTCTGAAATATATACATTTACAAATTACCTATGTGGTGCAATCAAGGGTTCTTATCAGCCACTTTTGGAGTGGAGACTTCAGAGCTACAAATTGGACAAACCTTCTTAATCTGAAGCCACTTGATGATGCAATCTGAATGATAAGGGTGCTCACAATGAAGTGCCATCAGTGCTTCACCTTCTTCGTATTCAACCTGACATATCACACAGCGATCTGTTCCTGTCTTGTTTTCTGCAAAATGGCAAGTGTAAGGATGCAGACAGGAAGGGATTTCATTTGCTGGCAATCCTTTCCTCTCTTCTCCTATGAACTCCGCCAACTCAATCAACTCTTCGTAGGACATTTCATCCGGATCGATCTCATCTTCTTCCATGTCCTCATCATTGCTTCCTTCGCCCTCAAGAAACTGAAGGTCTCCAAATTCGAATTCTTGGCTCTCGGAAAAGTCAGCATCTTCATCTTCATCGTCTTCGAAAGAGGACTCGCTTTCATCTCCATTGCTGCTTTCTTCGCTGTCCATGGTGTCAAGCATTGTGAAGGTTCCCTCTTGCTCTTGCAAAGCGATTGCCAGGGTGAAATCAGAGTTAACTTGCTCGAGTTCAGTGTATGGGGTTTTGTGGGAAGACTGTTTGCCCTTTTCTGGTTCCATGTTGAAGGAAGAGGCGTTCCGCTGCAATTGACGCAAATGGCGGGTTGAGATCGAAGAACAGAGACGAAGCGACTTTGGTATTTGAGGGAATGACCGAGGGCACAATTTTTGAGAAACTTTCATGTCAAGTAATGGAAACCCTTTGTCATGGATTCTTAAGATTCTAGATTCTTGGCTGTCTCAAGGTTTCTCGCCGTGAAGTTACCAACAACGCCCACACACTTGGGACATTCTTCTTGGACAAGGCGGCTTTCGATCGAAGCAATAACAACACATCGTCCGTAAGTAGCATTATACCTTTGTACATAATCAAAGCCATCAATTGCCGTTGGCTGCTGCTTCGTTCTTAACCAGTTGTTTTAAATGGACTGCGTATTTGAGCTCCTATCATTTATTTCTACATGGCAATACAGTTCGTTAATTTCTTTCTTGCTTTCTTTTTTAAAAGTTCGTCAATGTCTTGAAACAGAGCATGTTATTGCTTTGCCCATTGTATCACAGAATCACGTACAAGTTCATCTTGCTGCCAACAAATCAACGCCCGATATCATTTTTCTCGGTGATTTCAGGAGAATTAAACATCTCCAGCAGCAATGGTTCAGACGTTTCTGGACACCGTATTCTTTGCCATCGAGGAAGAAAAAGAAACACCAATGCCCCTTCCCTCTTAATGGAACCATACCAAAATAAAAGGAAAATGATAAAAACTGCTCCTTATCACCGAGAAACGTGGTGACCACTCTATAGAAACTCTTCAATAATTTTCTATATTAAATTTATACGTCGAAGTATTTTAGTTTTATTTCAATATATTTTAGGTAAAATTTAGTGAACCAAACGCAACTATAGGCGCATCAGCTGAGACAGTAGTGGAAATTTCGTCTTTACCCCGCAGGTAAGACAACGGCTCTGTTAGTTGCCGACAAGGAAAAGAGCAATGGTGATTCGATTGGGCATCATGATCAAAATAAACTACAATTGTACTAGGGCAGGAGAAGAAAAAGCAATATTGCATCGTTCTCGCGCTTTAGCATCCACTAACAAACAAATTCGAACAGGGCATTTAGTTTAATTCACAACACGCGGGACTAGACTAAGCGATCTCGAACATCGTTTTAACTTGCAACTGTAACAATGTACTCATTGACATAAAGGTTCAGTAAATGATATCTCCCACCTAGCTCCTGAATTCGGCAGACAATAAAAGATAGGAAATGGGCTTAAAGGTCAATCCATTCTTCCCTTCAAGATCCTTTCCTTTACTTCAGTTGGCGTGCTGCATGTGTGAATCAAAAGACCAATCAGCCAATGCCAAGTAATACTAAAATGAATGGACAAAGAAACACAAAAACTTGAACAGAATATAAATATGAGGATACCAAAAGCCCCAGTCTCAAGGGAGAAAAATCAGAAATATGCAAACCACATGAAGGAATAATAATGAAAATACATAACTTTACTTGAGCACAATCACCCCTTTCAAAATAAAATAAAATGGATCTACCAGTAAACCACGATACTGATTAGTCGTAAATTCATTGAAGTTCGTTTCTTTGAAAATTTATCACAAGTTAATCCTAATAATTCTTTCAAAAATAAATTTCGATTATTTATCCGTGGCATTTTCCATCACTGTGATTTCAGTGATCTATCATCCAATAAGATGGATCCATGCAGTAAAAGGCCCCAACTTTCACCCTGATTTGTGCTGCAGAGCACAGATAATCATTATAAAGTCACAAGGTGGATGCCACTAAGACAGCTTAATTTCCCCTAAAACGAAAATAATTAAAGCAGCTTACTGTCCAACCGGTTGTTTGCACGTAAAAGCAAAAGGAGGAATAATTGCACAACATAAAAGTATATGGCCAGCTACTAAAAGAAAAGAAGAACCATAAGCTTACACAACATAGACATGTCCACCCCAGCCACTTAGACAGTCACGATCAACAGATGAAAGCAGTGCTTGGGAGATGGTCTCAAATAATTCCTCTGCTTCCTGAGACACCCAAGGAAATATGATTAATAAAAAATGAGCTGTATCCTACGTTAGGAATCGTCCACATTAAAACTCGGTAGTTGTTGCTAATATTGGTTTGAAGATGCTTATAGGCTGTTCATTTTATAGCAAGTAGTGACACATATAGATGATGCACCAAATTTTCAAAAAACCATGCAAAAATTAAATCAGGTTAAAGTTAGGGACAAACCATGTTAGGCTTAAACATCGACTCACAAGCACCATATAGAGACTCGGACGCAGTGCCTGCAACAACAAAATCTTTTGCAAGTTCCCTGTATACAAGAAAAGCACAAAGATGACATTATCACAAACATATGGCTCACGAGAAAGAATATGACTTCCATATTATTGAAAAATAGCCAAATCCTAAGGCGTTTTGTGGTTCTAACACCTTTTGCCTTTAGCCACTTTTTAACATAGTAAAATCCCTTGTAAAGAAATACGAACGTATGATTATAAGAAGAGCTAGTTTGCAATTATAAGCTTTAACTCATTAAAATTTCCCTTAAAAATGGCCACAGATTATAAGAAAGAGTCAACTCACTTTGCTCCAATTGAGTCCATTGTGCAAATGAAAGGTCTCTCATCATCTCCTAATCCAGCAATTACAGGCTGGCAGAAGTATGGACCAAACCTAGAAAGCAAAAGATGCATTAACATTTCATTCCAAATTAAATAAATTTGCAAAATCATACAATCTTATAACTGATTCGGATGATAGCAGTCGCACTTGTAATATTGGGTTGCATATAATTCACCAGCAAAATGTTATAAATTATCTACACCTATTCCTCAACTTCATCGATCTAATATAGCAATAATTTTCTTAATAAAATGAACCTCGTTTTTATATTTTTGTTTTAGTCATCAATTGACTATTCTAAAACTGCTATTTTAACTTCCGGAAGAATTTCATTCTGATTTTGTACTTCGTTCTCTTGAACAGCCTCTGTGAATTATGGAGAAAAGATAGCAAAGTCAGGGTGGATGGGCAGGGCAAAAAAGTTTAAACTGTCCCATTTTAGGCTGCTGGTTAAGCTCCACAAGCATAGAATCCTCTCTAGACCAAAAGGAATTGCGTAAAGTCCACAAATGACAAGTCCCATGATATTCTTGTTATACTAGAGCTTGCTAGGCCTATCAATTGGGAAAATGCATATAACTTTACGTGAGGAAATGGTTATAGTTATCAGGACCATTTGAACACTCGAGCCAGTGGCTCCAGAACCCCCCCCCCCCCAAAGGAGTTCTGGTATAGCACAACAGCAGTTAGAGGCCACAGGCGTCCAGATTAGATTGCAAGGCCTCTCCATGCATTTTGTTTCCTTAGTACAATGGTTCTTTACCACGCCCCTATTTTTGTTCTTTTTATTATTAGCGTCAATCAATGTCACCGCCCATCTAAATTATATCTCAACTAATTATGCATGGCTGATCACAATGTACCGATTTCTTGTCATTTTTGTCCTCAACGTGGATTTTGATTGAAAATTTCAGAACACCGATAATCTGTGAGCAATTGATTTCACTTTCATCCATGACAATTTTGGTTGACTTCAGGTTGGAATATTCCTAGTCAAATACACAGAGCCCCCTTCCTTCACCTGATCTCTTAGCAAAGCATACACCATAAGCAGGAGTACAGTACTTGAAAGCTCACCAATTACATCAAACCACTTGGTTCAGTTAATCTTGCCCCAACGGTTTTAAGTTTACAATGTCATGATCAAGAAATATGTAGAACAATATGGCAGACGCATAAAAAACCAATGTTCAACGATTTCGGCCAGATAGATGGGGTCTTCATATTTTCGCTTTACGAAACAGTGAATGAGAAATTGCCGTGTTTTAGTTCGAAAAGAAAGGATGATGGCGTCTTAATAAAATTTCAGCACGAACTTCCTAATTTTTAATTGTGAATCATTGTGAACTTACAAGTTTCCACAAAGAGCATATAGCAATAATTAGTGAAGGCAGGGGCAGAATTCTGATCCCATAAGATATGATAAAATCTGCATACCTTTTCTCGTATAGAATAGCAGAGACTAAGCTGGCAAATGTCTCGGGCTTCATATCCCTTTCTTCTCGAAGCTGGTATAATTTGTGCCGGAACACGAGCCGTTGATAGCTTAAAGTAAAGGAACAACGATAAGAAATCAAGAAAAGAAGCTGAACCTAGAGCAATTGGGGAGATTGACAGAGAGTGATAGTATTCCTACAGTGTCTGGGCATCAGTGGCGAGGCCAGCAAGACCAATAAAAAGCTTGTCGTGGATCTTGTATATCCTCTGGAAATCGGTGGCGATAGTCTGAAGCTGAACACCAAGCCTCCGATCGCTGGCGATGGCAAAACAGTTCTTACCCACCATAGCCACTAGGGCACTTCCATTGTACTCGAAGATCGACATCTTCCCGAGAGTCCCTTTTGATTTCGGGTTTACTTTTGACGGCAATCTAAGAGAGAGCGAGAGACGTTCCCCGTTAAATTTGCAGCGAACGCATATGAAGGCTGGCTTGGACACCACTCCAGCTCCCTCGTGACCAGGGCGTGGGAGCAACATGAATGGGCCTGCTCTATCTCTCTTGGGCTATAAAGGGCTTTGCTTTTTTAAGACTTTTACTTGAAAGATATATCCATGAATAGGCCTAACGAGCCCATGACCCGGACTTCAGTCCTAAATTTGGGCCCATACATGTAAAATCACACGATAACTAGCATGGCATATAATAAATCAGGAATACCGAGATTGCATAGTTCATTTAACAACTTAACTCTCGTTTACCCCAAAAAAAAAAAAAACTTAACTCTCGTCTTTCTTTTTTTTTTAAAAATTATTTTGCTTTACAATTTTATTTTATTTCAGTACTGAAATCCTGCATTTTATCTTTAGATTCTTTAGGCCTGATAGATAACTAAGATTTTAATGCAAACAAGCAAAAAAAATTTTTTTGCCGAAAGTAAAAATTAAATATTTAATGAATAGGGCAAAAATATTATTCTATGTAGACCAGCGGATTTTGGGGGGTTTTTTTTTTTTTTGGTTTGGACTGGGGATTTTGAGATTGAATAACGTAGAATGATAATGGTAATCCCTGGGACGATGCCGCGGCCACCGTGTGAGTCTTATACCTCCGTCGTACATCTGCATCGTCTTTCTGTTTTTCCCGTCCGCCATCGTCCTTCTTTTCAGATTTGCTTAGACGTGAATTGTTTCCAGATTTGTTTAGATCTGATCTGGTTTTAGGCTTGCATATATATTGTTTCCAGTCTTTAATATAAAATCTAATTTGACTTTTATTTTGGTTCTAAATATAAGACCTCAATCCACTTTGTCTCTCATATTTATATATTTTTTCTCAACGTAGTCCTTCTAATAAGTAGTTCTAATATACTTGATTAACAAGGATATTTTAGAAAAAACAACACATATTTATTACAAATAACCAACTTAACTTCTTTTTTTAATCTTTTCAAATTAGTCAACTAGCTCTTATAATTAGGATCGGAGGAAGGTAGTATATCGTTCCATATTTGTTTGATTAATTCCGATGCTGGGAATTTTTTTTAAAATTAGAGAAACTAAATTTTCTCATAATCTGTAAACATACTCATGGCAGCTAATATTATGTCGCATTCATGCCATAGCAGTTCATCACGTTACCCGTTTTATTGTCCATTGGGAGCACTGATGTTGAACTCATGAGTTAACTCTCCGAGTTTAATGGTTTTACATTTTCAACTAACAAAATCATGTCGTTTCGCTTTTAAACTCGTGATGACTGTAAACTCAGTTATACTTACGAGTTCATTTACCAAGTTTACCATTTTTATGTTTTTAGCTTATAAAATCGTGTCAACTTATTCTTAAACTCGTGCTAAATTTTTGAATTTGATTATATTTAGTAACTTTATATATGAATTTTATAGAAATTTCTTTGTTGAATGTGATAAATTATGAACATTGATAAATATAATTTCAATTATTTAAATTTAAAATATATTTAAATAAAATTGTTCTCATTTTTTATATATTAATTATTTGATTATATACTTTTAATACTACTTTATTAATAAAAATAAACTCTTACAAGTTTACAATCCAAATTTATATTATTATTACGAATTTGTTTAAATTTGTAAGTTTAACAACCTTGATTAGGAGGTCCGGAATTGAACCAAAAACAGGCCCTAAAGGTTTTTTTTTTTTGGTTGACAATGGTGAATATATTTTTAGGAATGTTTTGTTTACTGCATGTTGTTCTGAGAGTTCCGAATTAATTAATTAATTAAGAGCTGTTTCGGATATGATGAATATAAAAACGGGGCATTAATTGTGATGCTTGACGATGGGCAGGCCAGTATATAGATTGTCACTTGCTCAACTGATTAGCCCATTCACAGGCATGGTTCATCGGTATATGGGAGAAAAGTAACAACTACGAATAAGTCAAACGCCTGTGTAATAGAAGAGGCGTCATATATAATGACGAATTGAAAATAATCAAGGACCAGCACTCAAAAATTAGCATTTACGTTGGGCATTAGAGTTATCAAAATGAGTTGGCAGGACATAGGTATTTACTTAGCTCTCTCTCTCTCTCTCTCTCTCACACTCACACACGCGCGCGTCTTATTCCACATAATTAGTTTGAGTCAGTGAAAGTTTCCATTTGTCCAGTGGGTAGTTATCTTCGCGTGCTCCTATCGACGCCGGCATCTTCAAAGAAAATTCATTAAGGTCTAGTAGTAAATTTGACGGTGTGGTTAATATATTTACGTGTGAATTATATTATTTAATTTATACACAGATCAGATATCTCAAACGAACTACTCCCTCCGTTCCTTATTATAAGAGACATTTGATGCTTATGGCATGTTCCTATATATAAGAGACACTTACAAGTTGTCTCTACTTTTTTGTGTTGATTTACTATTTTACCCATATTTATTATCTCCAACTCACACTCTCTCTCCCTCCCACTTCTCTTTCTTTGAATAATTTAATTTTTCTCTCTCATACTCTCTCTCCTTATTAATGAGGGTATTTTTGGAAAAAAATTATACTTTTTACACATTAATTGTTCTTAACTAATTTTAACTGTTTTTTTTATCAACGTATTTCGGTTATTTGTCTCTTATAATAAGGAACGGAGGGAGTATATTTTAAGGTGGAGAGAGTATTAATAAGTATTGTTTGATTCAGTTCATCAAAACGCACGTCAACGTTGGCTGTCTGTCATGTCATAACCCCATCCAATCCCATGTCCTTATTCGCCACTTCGTAAGAATATTAACTTGAAGATGATACCCTTTTCTGACAGATCCCCACGTTGTTATTTTACAAACTATCGTGGTCAATCCAGCTTGCTCTTGGGGAAAAAAAAAAAAATCAGAGAGAGAGAGAGAGATCCTCCGAAGGCCGAGAATAGGATCGATATTCGTTCTGTCACGAGGTGGCACATGTAGGGGAGAATGCTAACAACTATGTTGATAAGACACATGCACGTAATATTTGGTACTAGCTCATTGTTGGTAACCTAATCAGTGTGTATATGTGGTCATTACTCTTATTTTATTGGTAACCTAATTTTAAATGCGGGTAGTTATTATAAATATTCCAATGTGTTTCAGGTTCACATGCATGCTGGGTTTAGTTGATATATACTTCCCCGCCTAAATAAATTTTATATATGGTGTGGCGTCGTCCACTGTCAGATGGCGATTGAATTAAATACGGCGTTTTTAATTTTTTAGAGAGAGAAGATATTTTGACTAGTTTTGTGGTGGGTTTCACCTCATCGATCACATTTAAAATATCTCAATCATGCTAAACGCCTAAACCGTATATAAACCATCCGGTGACCACACCCGACCCCCAATACTAATGACGGGTCATTTGGATGAATTGACTTGAAACAATATGGAATGAATGCATGTTTTAATTTACATTAAGAATAAGGAAATATTCAAGGAGAAGTTTTTCTTAGCTCTTAGTCGCATGAGATAATTAGTTTTTAGACTGAATTTATGGTCATTAATTTATCCTGGTGTTGTGTAGGAAATGAAACAAAATCTCTCTCTTGTTTTTAGAAAAAATATTGTTTGACTCTTTTCTGCCAATAATTATTTGATTCTCGTATCCTCTGACATTTGTTACCGAAAATTCTTTACTGATATTGATCGATCGTTACTAAAATTAATTTGCCCGCCAATAATGCATTCATTCTCTCATAGAGAAAAATTGGCAATTAAATTGTTAGATTTGCTGTCATTTCGCACTAATTTAAATGGTAAAAGTATGATGTAAGTAAAAGCCTAGGATTCAAATCTTTTGAAATTAAACAGATTAAAAAAATCATATTTGCTGAAGTCAGTCACTCAATTTTATTTTTCAATCCAATAATAATAATCTAACTCCATATACGCGTGGATGAAGAAATTGACTCTCCAATGGTAGAGAGCCAATTCGTTAATTATAGAGAATTACACTCATCACGTTCACAGCTCCCTTCCCCCTCCCCCCTTCTCTCTCTCTCTCTCTCTCTCGCGTGTGTGCTCGCATCTACTAATAGGCAGAGATCAGAAGCGTGTGTGAGTATATATAGGTGGTTGGCAAGTCACGAAAAGGCTTTGGGAACCTGCAGAACCAGGGTAGAGCTTTTCAAGATGGAGCAGAAGGAGAAGTTGGTAGTGAAGTGTCGGTGGTGGTGGCTCCTAGCACTATTACTTTTAACGGCGGCTTTGGGCGGCGCCCAGGGAGGCAATGTCACCTACGACGGCAGGTCTTTAATCATCAACGGTGAACATAAAATCCTTTTCTCCGGTTCAATTCACTATCCTCGCAGCACTCCCGAGGTAGTTTCCCTTATCAGTACTTTATATCATATTCATCGCCATGCTAGTTTCTTCTGGTCTCTTCATAAATCATCATCTATATTGTTTGGGATACTGAGTTAAAAGAATATGAACTCCACGAGAGAGGCAAATAAAAGATGATCGTACTATACTCTTATGGAGTCATATATTCTTAATGTCTTGGTTAGTTGAGAAACTTAACTTGTGTCGCCCGCAAAACCATGGCCTTATTAATTTGACATAATTCAGAGATCAAGACTAATTAATTATCTGAAGCATCGTGTTTAGCTAGACAGACGCTCACTCTCTATAATGAGATTCACAAAAGTCTCAGACATGGCGAGCTGCTTCCATACGGTGTTTTTATTGTTTTGTCATGCTGCCGCGAATCTGACAGCTTGGCCTTCTACATCAAAATTCTATTCAGTATGCCTTGCTGTGTGTTCTTCTCATATTATATATTCGGACGCCGTTATTTCATTTTTAAAGTTTATCTAAATTTTATTCTGACCCAGCTGTTTTAAATATTAGTTTCGACCGTATTATTTTATTTTTTCTAAAATTACCGTTTTGTCCTTAAAATGATTACCTTCTAAATTTTGGTCCTGTTTAAATTTCTAAATTTATTTTCTTGATTGTTTCTTTTTGAATAAT